TTTAAAAAATACAAAAATACAAAAAAAAGTATAAAAACAAAAACAAAAAAAAATGGAGTCAGTTCTTCGTCACGTCCTAGTCGTTGACTCCGGGCTTGGTTGAGAACGAAGAATATATTAATATTTTCTTTTATGTTTCTTAGTGCAAAGAGAGAGGATCTTTTCTTTTATCTCATTATTTTCGAAAACTATCAGTTTTATGCAAAAAATGTATAGGACATAAATGATATATTTTTATAAGAACTACAACTTTTATTTGAAATATTTTTTTAATACATGAATATTTATCAAATTAATGTCAAAAAAGTAATATTTTTTTCAATTTTTTGGAGTTTTGACCTTGAAAATGATCTAGTCGCAAATTTTCATTATCATATTCGTAATCAGCGCACAAAAATACAAAAAATAGTATAGTCTCAAAAAAATCGGAGGATTCACCTATTCGGAACTTTATCTCAATGCCGTTTCATGGTATGCAGCAAATTGACTCAAACCAAATAACGAATCGTTTAGCACGAATTAGCAAGAGGTAAATTTCTTACTGAACAAAGTTCTAATGCCGATTAAAACGAATAATGATTACACCTTACCTGAGTGAAAATTTATCGAAGAGAACTATTCCAGAAGCTGCCGTTCGATTGTTTGTTCGTTTCAATATGGCGGAATGGCTTGTGTTCCGCCAAGGCGGGATGACTTATTTAACAAAATGTACGGTTCAACAAAGAATAAAGGCACTGCGCACAATCACATTTGAACCGCTCGAAACGAAAAAAGGGCCAACGACCGTCATAACACGTCTGTGCTCGTTAACGACTCGCACGGAACTGTGGGATTGTTTTCGCAATATGCACCTTTAAGGCGTGTTTTTATAATTAATCAAGTCTCAAAAGTGATTTTCGAAGATATCTCATTTTATATTACCTTTTTGACTAGACGAAAAGATATTTGCAAGGACAATATTTCACTATATCGAAAAGATAACTTAAAAATAATTTTGTTTTTTTGTTTTACCGAAAACCGAAAAAAAGATAATAAAAAGACATCTTTTTTATGTTATCTTTTCGATAAGATGGAAAGATATCTGCAAAGACATCTTTTCGCTTTATCGAAAAGATAACTTAAAAACGATTTCTTTTCGTTGTTTTTTAGTGTTATGTGCTGTCTGGGCTATTATTATTCTACATATAAATATATTAAAGTGAAAAGTTGTCGAAAAGTGAATATTTTATAAGAAAAAGTTATAAAAAAATATTTTACAAGTGAGAGAATATTTTGTACACTTTGTACTATAAAATATTAGGATAAAATATAAAATTTTCAGGAAGTTCATTCATTCATTCTTTTCAATAATTTTATATGCAGAATGACTGTAGGAATCAATTTTGTTAAAAGAAACATGATTTTATTTAAAAGGTTCAAAATAACTTTGATATAACTTTAACATATCTAAAGACAAACTGTTCAGACTATTAAATATATTCGTTTATATATTACAGCTTTAGTCTTAAACATTTTTTTGCAAAATTCCTTTTACTTTCCGGAATATTAAATAGTTCCAGAATTTTAAAAACCATGTATAACTAATAAAATAAAAATTTTAATTAAGAACTGAAGAACTAAAAAAATTCAGTTATTGAGCACGTATAAATTTTTTATTTATGTATCAAAATGAACAATATTAAAACGATATCCATTTTTCAATGAGTTAATTGATCAGTGAATTATTCTTTCAAATGTATTCGACATGTAATAATCGTGATAATAAGTAATATACATAGGTCAAGATTCGTGTATGGCTAAAAATGATAGCATGACTGTTTACTATTAGTCATCGGAAGTCCTCGTCTCTAACAACTGACACTACCTATCCACTAAAGTGTAGAAAATGAGAGTTTTGATCAGTATATCTTTGCATATGCATTATTGAATAATATATAAATATCTTACGGTAGTTATGAGAAAATCCTTTTAAACAATGTTAAATAATGTCAAATAGTAACTCATAAAAGGTAATTCTCTTCTGTTAAGTAATTAATAATTCTATTAGCTTCTTTACTTTACGATTTATTGGAGAGCACAAAATTTATAAATTTTATTTGTTTTCTACTATTACTATACAAATACAACAAAGTTGTACATTTGTGACACGTTTATAACGTTCAGTTTGTTGTGCACAACTTTACACTGTATTTACATGAATTCTTAAATTATACATAACTCTTTGGTATTACAATCAGCGTTCTCATCGAGTAATTACGTGCTAACACGTATTGCATAAACTGTATCTTAGATTTCTTTATGGCAATATTTAAGTTATGATTTCACTTGATTGTTTATTGTTTTCTATGTAAACAGGTTTACTGATTCATTCTATTTTCAGGACCATCAACAGTTTTGCTTCCGCTGTACTGACATCTCAGCAGACGCAACCGCCATCCACTCGTTACTGGTGGACTGAAACCATGTGAGGCCCAACGAGTATCTGCCGTTAAGGTTGGCGTGCTGACAATGACTGAACCACCATCCCCCTCGGTAGTTGGCTGCACAGTCAGTCGTGCTGATATCCATGTCGCGGTCTTTAGCACTGAATGCCATACCGTCTTGGTAGGATAGCGCGTTCGTGGCGTTACCAGAGTAATCAGATACGTGAAGTCGATAACCAGTTTCCTCAGAGTCAACGCTAAAATGTTCATATTCAGCACGCCAGTGCACACCGTATGTATCCGTCAGATCGACACGCAGTCGACTGCAATTATCACGAGTGAGCCGGTGTAATGCCTCATTGCCAATCCAAAACTCGCTGATCGGTGAGCCGAAGCCGGTTGAATATTCAGCCCATGTGCGATCAAAATCCACGACACCATCAATCCTACGCGATATGATAATCCACCCGGCACGACAAGAGGCAAGCAACGGTATTCCAGGACCAGGAGCCAATAGAGTGAGACCGTCACGTTCCTCGCAGTTGCCAGGTAACGAATCCACCATGAGTCGATACTGATCCTCTACTTGTTCCAATTCACGTGTGACATTAACTGCTCGAACCAAGTTCCGGGAGACGTCTAAACGACCAAGAGTCTCGTTCAACACGTCTAAGCTCTTCCGCTGCACGTCGCTTCTCTCCTGCAACTGCGATGCACTCACACTCAACGCCTGAACGGTGCGCCGTAGGTTGCTCAGCTCTTCTCTGGTCAATGACAATTCGGCAGCTTTACGCGCTGCATTGATCTCTAGCCGTGCCAGCTCTCGCTTTACTTCAGAACGATTGGTGTTGACGTCTTCCTCAAGCACGCGTACCGAATCGTACAATCGCACTACCGATATCTCCAGTTCATTCATCAACATCAGATCCCGACTGGCATTGGACATCCTCTTTGCAAGCTCTTCCTGCACTAGTTCGAGACTCTTCACCCGTTTATCCAAGTGCTCGCGATCCTCGTACACCACTCGCTTCTCTACCATCGTCCGCTTTCGCGCCACAAGAGAAATCTTTCGCTCGACATTCCGTAGACGTTCCTCGAAGTGAGCACGATGAGCTAAGGCACGTATATAATTTCGTCTGCGGATTTGTGACGTGAAATCGTGTGTAGCGCTCACATCATTATGGAAGATGTCAGCCTTGTCATGATGATTTTGTTTCTGATTCTGCTGCTGACCGAGAAGCTTGGATTCACACTTCAAGGACTTCAACTCGATTTGTATCGTGCTTAACTGTAACAAATAAAACAATCATAGATTGTATACCGGTTGTCTTCTAAAATGTGTTTTATATATATAGTTTATTTTTTGAAATTTTTTGCTTTTTTCTTAAAGGAGAGCGAAAGGGACGAATCAAAAAGAGAAAGGGGAAACCTTATTCTTGATATTATTATAACTTTGTTTGTGACGTCACTGTAAAGATAGATAAATTGAAAGTTATAGGGAAAAAACGACTTCTATAAAATCATACATTTATTAAATTTCTTAAAATCAATAATTTACATTGAAAAATATTTTCGCAATTGAAGTGTATATATAGAGAAATAATTTAATTATAATTTTAACCAAAAGTTAACTTTGAAGAATTTTTTTTATAAAAAATTATAAAAATATGAGTATAATTTTTTGATACTATTATATACACTCGTAGTTTTAAAGATTGTATGGCTTTTTTTGCAAGTTTAGGAACCAGTTCGTCTTGTCCAGTGGAAGAATCTATTTTCCAATAAGAGGACATTTTCATTGGATAAGACGAATAGGTTCATAAACTTACAAAAAAAAAACCAGACAACCCTTTCGACCACGATTATATATGTCTGCGCGTGTATAACATATACGTTTTGAATACATGGTGAATAAAGTTATCGAGTCATGTGGCTGCTATGGTTAACATATATCAGACAACGGTAAGCATCATCAATCAAGACTTGCATGCGGAATCAAAATTGAAGTAATAAACGCGTTCATAAATGCACAATTAAAGAACTCTCATCGTATGCGGAAAGGAGAAGAATTTGAAATTAATAATATCTGATATTATATCATATAATTTCATATTATATCCTACTTCCTCTCTCTTTCTCTCTTTTTCTTTCATTCCTTCTTTCTTTTTCTTTTTTTTTCCCTCCTCTCTCTCTTTCTCACATACACATTCTTTATTTTTTTTCTTTTCATTTGCTTTCTTTATAAATAAATCGGCAAATTAACACATTCCTTATATTCCTTCTTTTTCTCTTTTTCTTTATACGTAAACCAGCAGACTAACAGTTATTTAGAATGTTTCATCAATATTGTAAATATTTTCCTTTTTTCGAGATACTCCGGGAAATATAATACTTTATCGTCGCAAACTAACTCTATACAAAAGAGTTCTTAGAAACAAATTTTCTCACTTATTCTTATCAACTTTGCTGTCAGCATATCGCCCTCTACATACACAATGACTTATTTATTCTTTATTCCTAGGAATTTCTTTTTACACAGGATATTTCAGTGTGGACAGTAAGGTAAACAATTTCTTAAATGCGTGTAGATCAAATAAAAATAAATTTATGTAACTTTTTTTCCTATAGACCCTTGCTGAAATATTTGTCTCCGAAGTTAAAATTTATAAAAAAACATTTTTTAAAAATAATTTTTATATTGTTTATCAGATTTTAATAATTTTTGTATTATTCTTATACTAAGTCAAGGTTGTTGAATTTAAGAATGATATGATACATTTTCTTATATTACATCAGGGAACTGGGAGGTAAACCAACTCTATGGGCCTTCTTATAATTAATCATAAGCCATAGGCAATCACAGTTGACTATTTTCAAAAATAATCGACTATGGTTGGTCAACTTGCCTACGACTTATGACTAATAGCTTATTGTAGAAGGCCCATAAACTCTTAACTCTCAAACTTTGGGATGAGTAAGCGGATATTTCAATGTTAAGTTATTTTTTTTAGATTCTTCAGAACATTTTCTTTAAAAAAGATATTCTTGTTTAATTTTAGAAAACCGAATAATTTTCGAAAAAAAAACGTACTTAAATGATGAAATTTAAAGATAAAATTTTATTTAAACAATAAGATAATAAATATTAAGGTAAAATTAAAAAATTAATTTGTCAAAAATTATAACAAATGTTCAATATATTTTAGCAAAACATACAAATATATAGCATAAAATTTACTTTTCAAAAACCTCAATATTTTTACATTGAACAATGACAAAAATTGATTAATGATATTAATGCACTTATATGCATCAATACATTAGCAAAATACAATGGATTTTTTTGTAAAATTTTTTTATGACTTTTTAATAATTTATTGCATCTGCCGTGCGTCATGTTTTACATACACGCACGCATCCACACACACACACACACACACACACACACACACACACATATATATATATATATATATATATATATATATAAACATATATATAAACTACCGCATAATATTTTAATGGCATATTTTTTAGAATATTTTAAAACGAAAATTTTAATACAAAAATGTCCAGACTATAATAGTTTTCAAACGGGAAGCGATTATATTTCACTAATAACAGGGCTGAGATTTTGCGCGTTCAGGCACGATGAAATAACAAGTGATAAAAATGCTCCTATGTCGCCGTATAAGGTAGTGGATATCTTCATGGTAATAATTGATCGACACTTTGACAGATTAAGTTGAAACATGTCATTTTTACTTGAACCATATTTGAGATGTTCTTGTATCCATTATTCGTATAAAAAATATATTAATTTATATTAAAATATGTTAATGTGTAGAAAAACGGCAAAACATATTATGACAATATTATTATAGATTTATACGATGATCATAATATCGTGAAAAGAGCGGCATTCATAAGAGCACCTTTATCACTTGTCATTTTATCGCGCCTAAGCACGCAAAATCTCAACCCTGTCATTGATTAAATTTAATCGCTTCCCATTTAAAAACTATTATAGCCTCAACATTTTTGCATTAAAGTTTTCATTTTGAAATGTTCTAAAGAATCTGCTATTAAAATATCATGCGGTAATTTCGGGACACCCTGTATATATACAGGGTGTCCCAGACTCTTCTTCAATTTTTGTGGAAACGTAGAATAGATTGAGCTAAACATAAAAGTTCTATACCGATTTTTTGCGATATTCGCAATAAATCTCAAGATATTAAAGAAGATTAGTGAATAATCACGCACGATATGGTAGATCAGCTGTAGTGGTAGTATAATTGTCTGTTGTATACTTATACATTAAGTCAAACTGAACAAAAAAGTCTTCTACCATTTTACACATGACCACATAGATTTTTAGATATTAATTAAAAAAGATTTGTACATTATCGCACACAGTCATGTAACAATTTTCTTTCATTAATAACTAAAAATCTATGTGGTTATTTGTAAAATAATAGAGGACTTTTTTGTTTAATTTGATCTAATGTACAAGCACACAATAGCACACATCGTCACTACACTTATCTACTGTATCGTGCGTGATCATTCATCAATCTTTTTTAATTAATATCTTGACTATTATTGCGAATACCGTAAAACGGTATATAATTTTTATATTCCTCATCTCACCTTAATCTGTTCTACGTTCTTACCAAAAATACGGAGGAGACTCGGAAACACCCTATATATATATGTACACACACACACACACACACACACACGCGCGCGCGCGCGCGCGCGCGCATGTATATGCATGTGTGCATGCTGTGTGTGTGTGTGTGTGTGTGTGTGTGTGTGTGTACATACATACATACATACATACATACATACATACATACATACATACATACATACATACATACATACATACATATATATTTAAATATAAATAAATAAATAAATATATGTATATATATATGTGTGTATATATATCCTCGTATGACGATTGAAAGTCGAAGGCAGAAGCGCAAAGGGCGGGAAGCATTTAAGAGAAAGAAGGATATGATGATGCCGGGTCTGAGGGGCACATGCGTGCGGCTGAAAAGAGTGTCCATTGCGCGGGCGGAGCAGGGAGGGTGAGAGGAAAGGAGGAGGAGGAGGTTGAAAAGCAGCTGCCAAGCGGCAAAACGAGAAATAAGAACCAAGCAGCTGGCTGCCCTGTCAGGCGCAGGTGTACGGAGAAGCTACGCATCCTCCTTCTTTCTTCTTCCTGCCGTAAATATTAAATGGTAGCGGCAGCCATTATCTACATGGACGCCCGTTGTCCGCGTGCAAGCCGCATGCCGGGCTCTTCGGCGCGCGCGCACAAGAACACACGCGCACACACACATATATATACATATATACATATATATATATATATATATATATATATATGTATGTATATATACATATATATATATTCACACATAAATGTGTGTTGTAAATGTGTGTATGCGCGCGCGTGTATATACGTGTGTGTGTGTGTGTATAATATACATTTGTGCTTGCCACCACGAAATCAAGCCATTGTAACCGAAAAAATCGGTCGTGAGACATTGAGCGGCACGCGCGCATCTAGGAATTACCACAAAACTGATGGTGGTAATACTAAGACGATACTGAAGTGTACATATGCATACACAGGTATATATGTAACGTATGTGCGTATGTATGATGTATACCTTATTATGTAGTATATATTATATAGTTTATAGTACACAAAGAAAAAAAGAGTTATTTATCCAATATAAACTTCTCTAAAACGCTTTTATATGATAATTAATCAAATATTACAATTGATAGTTAACTTTTAGTGCGATTTATTAAAGTTCCATTTTTAAATTAAAAATTTTTAAATTTAATTAAATTTTTAAATTAACAATCACGTAAGTTGAAGATAATTAAGTAAGTTTTAAATTAGAATTAATAAATTAAGTAGGGAATTATAAAGGAATTAAATTATTAAAAATATAAAAAAGGTAAATTTTTAAATTTTGCAATTAGATAACAATTTTTTAAACTTCTCATGTGAAAATTTGAAACTCTAAAATTAATCAGTTGTCTAAAAATAAAACACATTCCAGAAATCTTCTTCTTACTTCACACGTGGCTACGTCGCAAATTGATTACCTGCTTATCATCTCGTATTTTATCTCACATTGATCTTATAACATTTGTGGTAGAGGATGACTTACCTGACTGCTAATGTCCGCGCAAGAACGAGAGAGAAAACTGGCGCGTTCCTTCGTTGCGGCGATATCAAGTCTAAGGGTGCCGAGCGTAACTTCGATCTTTGTGATCCTGCCACCGAGATCACGTATGCTCCTACCGACCTCGGCGACGTCTCCTTTCAGTAAAGCCAACTCACTTCTCATCCTCGATCGTTCGGCTAGCTCTTCACTGGCATTCCGTGTCCTAAGCACCTCGGCGACTTCACTTTGCAGCTCCGTCACGGCGCTGCCGAGCCATCGTACTCGTAATCGCTCGTTCTTCGCCTCGTTGCCGCTTCCGCCGCGAAGAGCATTCACTTCCTTCCTATAGATACACATTGATTATAATATGTATGTTTCAATGATATCCTATTAATATGGCAATATTATTTCTTGCATAAAAAAATTAGGAAGAAAGAAGTAATACTTAGGAAGAAAGAATAAAGAAGTAAAAAAATATTTCTTATTATCGAATGTATCAGAGTTGTTTTATTATTAATATTTTATTGATTATGAGTTTGCTGATATTGAAAAAGAAAGAGTCTTAATATTTTTAAATAATATATATAATAGTTGTAAAACATATAAAATTGTTTCCACAAAGTCCGGAAAGGCTAATCTAACAGAATCCTTAGACTTTAAGGTCCATATTCTGAATCCTCTTTTATCGATAAAAGTACCTTAAATGTAGCTTCTCAGCCAATCAAGTGGCTCCTAAGCCTCTTTTAGAAACACTTTTATAGATAAAAGAGAATTCAGAATATGGATCTAAGTAATTTCCAAGGTTTTCTCTTGCACATACGTCAATGTATATTTTGATTATGCAACTCAATGACTTCTAATACTTTATCTTATTACGATATCGATTGTAAATTCGATATAGTAAATTAAATCCTTACTTCAATTGTTTCACTTCGTTTCTGAGGACAATCAGTTCGGTGTTTTTCTCCATCGCCCGCTTTAGACTCTCTTCTAAAGCATTATAATCCTCTTGTCGATGGTCCAGTAACGCACCAACTTGTTCCTGTAGCAATTTGATTGTGTCTCGGAGATTCTCGTCCGCGCGTATGACAGCAATCAGCGTGCTCACTACGATAATCGTCGACAATAAACATAGTACTTTCGTCATCTCTGCTCTGATTTTATAGTCTTCGTGTAAGATTTTTAGAACATTAGCTTCTGGATCTTCGAATTTGTATATCTCGTAATATTTAGAAATTTCCGAATTTTATATATCAAAATCTCAAAAATTTACAGTTCTATTATATTTTTGTTATTTGTGTGTATCTTTTTCAATTGAAAATCTTCCAACCGTTGAATCTTCGCATTTTTAAACTCTTGCGAAGATTTTCATGTAAATTTTCAATCATTCGAATTTCTTTAATAAGATCGTTTCGGTATTTCAACGTAATTATTATATATCTCCGACGAAATTATTATTTATCACGACTATTCGACACGACTTGACGATAACGCGGATTTTACTGTAATTCACCGTGATTTACGGCAATTCGATTTTAACAGCGACAATCGATGTCACTCGATCGAAGTCACGCACGTGATTGTCGTGCTCGACTGTCTCTCGAAAGTCTACTGGCTGCGCCTGAAACGGTGTACGAGTTTTATATCGGCCCTTGGACAAAGGTCCCCGCTCGGACCCGGTGTAGAGCAGGTGTTCGTTCGGCAACACCAGGCCTCGTCAGGTATATATTGTCTCACGCGCCGCTGTCTGTATCCCCACGTTGCTTATATACAGTTCCTATCTTCGTTTCACTGCACTCATGTCATGCCACGAGATCGTAATAGATACGTCGTATGGGATCGTGATACGATAAATGCACGAGTACAGGGTGTTCGATAATAAGCTCGTCTGGCAAACATGTGAAACTTCTCATTTCAAAAAATAAAATAAATAATTTCTTTCCCGAGATAAAAATTAATTTTACTCGGATTTTTGTACAGCTTTAACATTTTAATTCTGCAACGTGTTGTAACAAAAGCTATCCGCCTTGTAACACGATATTTGCATGCCACTCGTTAAAGAGTGTTTAATTAAAATCAGAAACACGCATGTTTACGCATAAAAAAATGCTCAAAAAATTTACTTTATTTAAAATACTTGATAGGATTATATAAGAAAAATCTATGTAACAAAATCGTATTTAACAGATAAAATAGAAATAGAACTCCTTGAAACAATTGAATAATAAAAAAAGAGCCTATTGAAGTTCGGCGCAGGTGAATTAACGCAGTTAAACTAATAAAAAATTAGTGTATGTCCTCAGTGAGAAAAAACTTACCTTTATTAAGATTATACAAAATCGCGTTTCGGTCTCTTTTGTAGATCCTCTTCAGTGATAATAATGAAGTAAAAAAAAAAAAAAATTGTTGGTCCTGACGCTCGGTTGAATCCTCAAACAATATGAAAAAAGTAAAATGCCGCAAACAGAACGCGCAATAATGTCTAATAATAACTTTGTAGACCTCACACAAAATTCCAAAGGTGTAATGATTATCATCATGCCAGTGGTCCCGTCACATCTTTAGTCACTCCAAATGCACTTACAAGGAAACGGTCTGGGGCGTCCCTCACCGAATTTGATGAGCATTGGATATGTTGTAGAGCATCAAAAAACATTAGACACGTATTTTTTTTTTATGTGCTTATCTCGAGGTTTAGGGGTTGAAACCACCCCTTGAAAAAAACGGACTTTTTCATTTTTATTTAATATTTCCTAAAATATGAGGTATATGAAAAAATATTTCAGACAAAAGTTTTACAGTATCTTATGCCCTTTCCATCGGTCTATTCAAATTTTTTAAAATGCAATATTTCACCCCCCCTCCCTCTCCCCTTCGTCACCTTTGCAAATTTTTAAGTTTTTGTAAAGACAAAAATTAAAAAGCATTTCATGCCAAATCCATCGATATATAATAATAGTATGGTTCCTCGATTCAATTCTTGGCAAAACATGACTGATAACTTCGCGGTATAGGCACCGCGTTGTGCGAGTAGGTAAGTACTGTACGTTGCGTTGGATTACTT